GTATGATTTTTTTTTTCTTGCAAATTTTTGGGTTTGTGGATGTTTGTGGATCAAAACAACAATGTTGCCTCATTTGAGTCAATTTTCTGTAAATTTCTGGGTTTGTTAATATTTTCTAGAGATGGAAGGAACATTTTTGTGGGCAAAATCGTCATTCACACTCTAATACCAACGGCTTAAATTCTAATACCAAGTCCTTTGCACCTTTGCTAATCCCCTCGTTGGAGGGGATTCAGAGTCCGAACGGATTAGCACTCCAGTGGCCATTTTTTTTTTTACCCAATTCACTATGGTGCTTCCAATTGAAGAATTCTAACTCTGAGAGAGGGAGAGAGAAAGTAGGGGTTCCTAGGCCTTGCTCCCTGTTAGGACTCTTTGTTGTCAAATTCCATGGATCAAACCCAAGGTTGTAATTTTTTAAATTCACATGTTGGGTCAAACTAGGATTACTTTGGATTTCTCTAAGAAGTTGATTTTCTTCCAAAACTAGGATTACTTTGGAGTCCTTTAAGAAGTTGGTTTTCTTCCAAAAACAGGATTACTTTGGATTTTCTATAAGTAGTTGGTTTTCTCCCAAAACTAGACTATTCATTATTTTTTCCTCCAGATCTTCTTTTTGGTTCTTAAGGTTTATATCTGGGGATATTTTGTTAGTTTTCTTTGATGTCTTATTGAGTATTCAACTCATGGTTTAAAACGAATACATCAAAGGTTTTGTTTGTTCTACACAAAAGAGAGAGTTGTTTTTCGGTAGATTCTGAAGAATTCGAGCTTGAAGCTTCAGTGGATTCTGGAGTGGCTCATCAGAAAGACAATTCCGAGGTGAAGACGGGGTTGGAAAAGGCACATAGAGGTTGGTTCAATTCGGGCGTGGATTCGCTAGGTAATTGAGAGTATACCTGTGCAATTCTTTTATATTTTCTTAGTGAATTGTTTTGTGGCTGTTGCTCGTGATTTTTTATCACAATTGGAGGTGTTCAATTGTGGTTTTTCCACGTAAAATCGTTGTGTCGATTTATCTTGATTGTTTGATTGAGATTCTTATATACTGTTTAAAATTGATACATAATCACAAATCAACATATGGGGGATTTCTAGATTTTTCAATACCCATCGCTGTGGATGATTTTAGGAATTTAGTATTTAGATTTTAAATTGATTTGTAGAATAATGAATGATTGGATAATATATATTCATTTACAGGTTATAAATATACATATATATATATATAGATTATATATATTATTAATTGTGCATATATATATATATATATGTTAGAGTTGGTTATTCAAATTTTGTTTTCCTTTTTATTTACATGTCATAATTTAACACCATCAAACCTAAACATTTGTAATTTATTACTTTCACTGGGAGTGGTTTGATAATGGAGGTACCGGTGAGAGTTTGCAAATATCCATGTTGCATTCATCTATGTAGAGATTTCTAAATCTGGGCTTTTAAAAATGAAGAAGAAAGGCTGTTTTGAAAATTGGTAATGAAGATGAGGGTATTTTAGTTATTTAATTCGGATAAAAAATTATCTTTCCATAACCAATTGCACAGCCCTCCTGTGTGTTGCACAGCCTATTAAAATAAATGAAAAAACTAACTATGCATTTCACTCTATCAATCACAGAAAATTTATAGTGATATTCAACATCAAGAAGTGATCCGCATATATAGTGATATTCAACGTCAAGAAGTGATCCGCATATGACTTATATTATAAGGGGATAAAGTGACGTTTATCCATAATAATAATCCTGTGACGGCACTTGTGTTCATGATAAAACTGACAATTGGGTCAAGGTTCATAAGTAGTGCTGGTTCTAACCTTTATCCTTTTCTTAACTCAATCGTATGTACTATTCAATGATTGAATTCAAATTAATTATGTTTTTCACTTATTGATTATTTTTATTTTTTCATAATTTATATTCACCTTCTCTTTATTTTTATTCTTTTATAATTTATACTGACTGTCTTTGAAATTGAAGATAATTACAGAAATTAATATTGAAATTTTGAAATAACACTAATAATCGTACTTAAAGTTTAAATTTTTGTTACAAATACCACCTCTATTGGTTTATCATCAATTTAAAAAAAAGGAAATGGCTGATATAACTAAAAAGACAAAAAAAAGAAAAACTATATTTTCAATTTTTCCTTTTACAAATCCCACCTTTATGTTTGGCATTAATTTTTTTTTTAAACTATTTTAGTCATAAAAAGACAAAATAAGTTAACAAGTCAATAAAATAAAATATCACATCTAAATCATAATTATTTTATTTTATTTCATTTTTCATAATGAATAATTTATATTTTAAACAAATCTCAGCGGATATATTTATAATTTATCAAAAAAGAAAATAAGATATTGAGTTACTTTTCTTGATTTTCACATTTACACGGCAGGATTATTTGTTTGGAATGTCCTAAATAAGTGCATTTTTTGAATTTTTAGACTAAAAAGTTGAGGAAAAAAATATGATTATTTGGGTTAACTTTTTGAATTTTTATGGAAAAATGTATATTAAAAAATTATATAAATTAGTGTGTAGGAATTAGTGTGTAGGAAAAAATTAGAATTGTGAGTTGTGCAACTATAATTTTTGACTTTTTGACTTTTTGAGTAACTTTTTGACTTTTTGACCACATGCCAAACTTTAATGTGGATAGGGTGGGTATCTGGGAAGTTGCTATTTTAATAGACTATTTTAGTTTTTAATTATTTTAGTAGGTTAAATTTTTGTGTTTTGGAAGATAATTAATTTTTTTTTGTAATTGGATGTGAGGTTTGTGAAACAAAAAATGAAATGATTATAGTTTAAATGTGATATTTTGTCTTATTAATTATTTTAGTCTATTTTATCTTTTTGTGAATTTTAGACTAAGGCCTTATTTGAAAATAAGTTTTTTTAATAATTTTTTAATTTTTTAGTTTAAATATGATGTAAAAATATTAATATGTTTAGGATAAATTTTTTTTTTTTTAGGAAAAGATATAAAGAAATCTTATTCAAAAAATATGTTTCAAAATACAAACCAAACGTATCCTATAATTCCAAATCAAACTGAATCACATTTGACTGATCTAATTTAGGTCTTATTTGTTATAACATAAAAAGGTAAAAAAGTCACTATCTTATTTAAGAGGTTGTTTGTAGTGTTCTAAATAAGTGTACTTTTTATCTTTTTGGACTAAAAAATTGAAGAAAAAAATATGGATGCTTGGGTTAATTTTTTGACTTTTTATAAAAAAATGTGCATTAAAAAATTGTATAAATTAATATATAGGGAAAAATTAGGATTGTGAGTTGTGCAGCCATAATTTTTGACTTTTAGTGAATAGTGATAACTTTTAACTTTTTGGATAACTTTTTGACTTTTTGACTACATGCCAAACTTCAATGTGGATAGGGTGGATATGTGAGAAGTTGCTATTTTAATAGACTATTTTAGTTTTTAATTATTTTAGTAGGTTAAATTTTTGTGTTTTGAAAGATAATTAATTTTTTTGTAATTGGATGTGATGTTTCTGAAACAAAAAATGAAATGATTATAGTTTAAATATGATATTTTGTCTTATTAATTATTTTAGTCTATTTTATATTTTTGTGAATTTTAGACTAAGGCCTTATTTGGAAACAAGTTTTTCTAATAATTTTTTAATTTTTTAGTTAAAATATGATGTAAAAATATTAGTATATTTAAGATAAATTTTTAATTTTTTACGAAAAGATATAAAAAAAAATGAAGAGAAAAAAATTAAGCTAAAATTTGACTTCTCACACAGCCCAAGATAAGATATCTCAAGAAAGCCAAACCAAACAAAACCTTATTCTCTGTGAGCCTTCAAGGTTTACATTTAAATACTCCCGTCCCTTGCTCAGAGAGAGAGAGAGAGAGAGAGAGATGGAGACTATTGCAGAAGCTGAGGTAAACCAAACCATGTCAGAATCAAAGGAGCAATCCACATCCACACCGGAGCCGGTGAGCTCGGCGTTGGAAGATGTGCTATCGGATACGAGTTTGTCGTACGTACAGAGACTACAACGAGCCACAACCATTGAACTTAATACTCTCTTCAAGCTTGCGGCTCCTGCAATTGTAGTTTACTTGCTCAACAATGTCACTTCCATGGCCACCCAAATCTTTTGTGGCCATCTTGGAAATCTTGAGCTTGCTGCTGCTTCTCTTGGCAACAATGGCATCCAAATCTTTGCCTATGGTGTCATGGTAACTCTCTCTCTCTCTCTCTCTCTCTCTCTCACGTTCGTGGATGTTTATGTGAGTATCCATGTTGCATTCATCTATGTGTCCACGTAACATATGTGAACATGCATACATATAAAAATTGGTACACATACAAGATTTTTTTTTTATTTTTTTATTTTGTTCTATTACAAAATAATAAAAAAAAATTATGGGAAGTTACACTTTGCCTCCTTTATTTTTTTGGGTTATGGGATATTCGGATCCGTTTAAGTGTACTTAGACTAATTTAAAGATCCATGCAAAGTGCCTCTTTCACGTGAATCAGACAAATATCAAGCGTGACCTCAAAGAATTAATAACACCTAATAAAAGTTAAACTTGTAACTTGAAAGGAGTACACTCCCAACCCCCAAACCCCAAACTTACTTTGTCTCTTTTACATTTTGTCATCTTTCTCATTTTGTCCCTTGATTTTTTTTTCCTCACTTTTGCCATCATATTTCAAGTTTTTTTTTCTAAATTACTCCAAGAATTAATTTATATTCAAAATTAGACAAATAATAGCACACTAACAGTCATGTAACATAAAATATTTTATTATATATAACTCACATATTTGACATAAATCACAATATAATTATATATTTTTATGTCATGTATCAATTAATGTGATATTTTCTATCTAATTTTAATTCGAAATTAATTTTAAAAAAAATTTAAAATATGAAAGTCAAAATGAAAAAAAAGAAAAATGCTTCAAAGGCCAAAATAAAAATAAAAATAAAAAAGGGCTTAAAAGATAGTTTATTTATTTTAAGTGAAAGGGATGGTTGAGTGACCAGTAGTCCCATCAAAGCCAATATACACCGAGACGACGAGACATAAAAGAGAATAGTACTTCTGTATTTTGAACCTATAAAATCTACATCGGAAAGAATCAAAACAACTTTGTAGTATTATGTTTATGTCACAATCAGTGGAGTCACTAGAAGTCCAGAAGGGGCTTATTGCTTCCTCAACTTTTTAAAAATTAGATTTTATTATAAGGTTTTGAGATTTTTTTAAAGTTGTTTTTAAAAAAAACAACCAAATCAGTCCGTCGCATTTTGGACGAACACGTAATGACGATTGGATGATTACGGATTGATTTTTTTAATCCATCTAATTTTAGACGGATAGCGAATTTGAGATTCTTTTAATCACAACCAAACCGCCAAACAACAAGCACCCCTAGTAATTTGTAAGATTTTGTGTTTTCAATTTATTTAGATATTTTATTTGTGTTTTCAATTGAAAAATAATTTAAATGTTCTGTTGAAAAAGAGTTTTCAACTTGAATATATTTTTTGAATTGAAAAAAGTAAATGTATTATTTATCTAATTTTTTTAGTTTTTAAATCTAACTCTAAAAATAATAAATAAAAAAGATGATATATGTTGGTTGGTTTTTGTTTTCAAAAACCGATATAAAAGTAACAATACAAAGACATACAATCTCTATTACTGCTCTATTTATGATTTTGGGTGTTTGAATTATTTTTACATTTTAAAAACTACAGATTGAAATATTTTATGTGGATGAAACATGCAGTGATTGTATTATTCTAAAGTTTTAAACTTTCTTTCTTTAGATGAGATATGCAGTGATTGTAATGCTTTTTTAAGTCATTGACAGTAACATTTTTTTTTTTGAAAAAGTGCACAAGTTGAGTTATATTAAAAATTTATAACGATTCACATCAATCCGCCAATCCACTCAATCCACATTCGCCGAATTAACAGAGGGATGGGAATTTATTTTCTCCAATCCGCCAATCTGACGATCGGATGGCGGATTGAAAGTTCCGTAGCCGTAACCAACTCACGCCCATCCCTAGTTAAGATCATACACAAACATTAAAATGGTATATCCAACATAAATTAACAAATGCTACATGATAATATATGTTTCAGCTTGGAATGGGAAGTGCAGTGGAGACACTATGTGTTTTTTAGTTTTTAAATCTAACTCTAAAAATAATAAATAAAAAAGATGATATATGTTGGTTGGTTTTTGTTTTCAAAAACCGATATAAAAGTAACAATACAAAGACATAAAATTTCTATTACTGCTCTATTTATGATTTTGGTGGTTTGAATTGTTTTTACATTTTAAAAACTACAGATTGAAATACTTTATGTGGATGAAACATGCAGTGATTGTATTATTCTAAAGTTTTAAATTTTCTTTCTTTGGATGAGATATGCAGTGATTGTAATGCTTTTTTAAGTCATTGACAGTAACACTTTTTTTTTTGAGAAAGTGCACAAGTTGAATTATGTTAAAAATTTATACCGATTCACATCAATCCGCCAATCCAATCAATCCACATTCGTCGAATTGACAGACAGATGGGAATTTATTTTCTCCAATCCGCCAATCTGACAAACAAATGGCGGATTGAAAGTTCCGTAGCCGCAACCAACCCACGCTCATCCCTAGTTAAGATCATATACAAACATTAAAATGGTATATCCAATATAAATTAACAAATGCTACATGATAATATATGTTTCAGCTTGGAATGGGAAGTGCAGTGGAGACACTATGTGGCCAAGCCTATGGAGCTCATAAGTATGGAATGCTAGGCATATATTTACAAAGATCAGCAATCCTCCTCATGGCAACAGGCATTCCAGTCACACTCATCTACATATTCTCTAAGCCCCTCCTCCTGTTGCTCGGCGAATCGTCAGAAATAGCGTCTGCAGCCTCCATATTCGTATACGGTCTCATCCCACAAATCTTCGCATACGCCGCCAACTTCCCCATTCAAAAATTCTTACAAGCACAGAGCATTGTAACCCCGAGTGCCATAATCTCTGCGGCCACACTAGTATTTCACTTGATTGTGACGTGGCTCGTGGTGTACAGGTTGGGTTGGGGATTGTTGGGTGCTTCACTGGTGTTGAGTTTGTCATGGTGGATTGTGGTGGTGGCTCAATTTGTGTATATATTGATGAGTAGTAGGTGCAAGGAGACATGGAGTGGGTTCAGTTTGCTGGCATTTTCTGGGCTGTGGGATTTCTTGAAACTGTCTGCTGCTTCTGGGGTTATGCTGTGTTTGGAGACTTGGTATTATCAGATTATTGTTTTGATTGCTGGGTTACTTGAAGATGCTGAGATTGCCTTGGACTCTCTTTCTATTTGGTAAGAAATTCAAAATCTTTAAAATGTCTACCCTAGTTTTACCTGCAGCAACACGTGTCTATTTTTAATTTTTTTGTTTTATAATCGAGTGCCCGGATCAATTTACGTGCATCTCGACTAATCTCAAAGATCAATCCAACCTCAAAGGATTGGCCTAATGAGTACAATTTGAGATTTGAAAATGTAATTACAAGTCTCAAATTCAATACTCATATAAAGTCTAACTCGTTAATATATGATTTTAAAAGAATTCAGAAATTTAAATTATAAATTTCTAACATATATTTTATCCACGAAAGCTACCCTCAGAGAGAATTGAACCACAATCAACTCTTGACAAGCACGTATGACCATTGGACCAGTTGGTCCTGATCCTCTAACATTCTTGATAGAAATGTCCACAAAAAAAAGAAGAGGGTCTAGTTTTATGTGATCTATCTCATTCTAATTATTTGAATAATTTATTTCATAGATTTCTATATGTAGATTATTCAAAAAATTTAATTAAAATAATCCAACTACAATAAATATATGATTTTATTATATTTGTCTTCAAATAATGACGACGAATATGATTTTAAAAGTATATCATTCAATTTTTTTAAATAATAAATGAATGTGTTTTTTGATGGTTGAAATTAATCTAATTATTTTTTATAGATGATTTATATATAAGAATTTTTAAAATAAATCATTCAAATTATTGAAATAAAAGTCGTAACAAGCCTTACAATGTGCGCAGTCTAGTCCATTAACTAAAACGAGAGAAAAGCTCTTTGTCAAAAATAAAAAATAAAATAAAATAAATAAAAATACTTTTGGTGAAAATTTGTATTAAAAAATATTAGTAACAAAAATAGTTAAATAAAAAATACAATGGTTAAATTACTCCTTACACTTTGACAAAAATTTCACTTTAGTTGCTTTACTTGCAATTGTAATAATAAATCTCTACGCTTGAAGTTAAGTTAAAATTTCACTCTTCCTTCCATCTACTATTATGCTGTATTTGCTTGAGGGATTTAAGGAGGGATTTGGAAAGGAAAATGAAAAAGGTAAGTGAAATGTGAATAAAAATGTCTATATTTCACATATTTTCACAAATCTTTTTTTTTTTCCTATTTCAAATCTCTCTCAAAATCTCCTAACCAAACACAACGTTAACAAAATTAAAAAAATTTGTCATTTGAAGCATATATGACATATTTGTTATCTCATTAGCACCCTTACATTTTTATCAAAATTTTGATTTAGTTTCTTCATTTTTAATTAATGTTAGCTTTACTAGCAGTAAATTGATGAAAAGATGAGATTAAAACTTAATTTTAAAATGTAAAAAATTAACGGTTACAATTATAAATAAAAATATTTAAATAAAATTCGAATAAAAATAAAAAAATACTAAACACAGTATACCCAAATACGATTTTGTCATTTATATGACAATAGAAAGTGTAATGTGGGAGTTGTCGGATCATGCCAATCCCTTTCATGAATCACGTCCAATCACTGCCATTCCCAAGTTCAATCACTACCATTCCCAGCCAAGAAAAAAAAAAACAAAACAAAAAACAAAAACAAAGTTCAAAGGAGTTCGCGACAAAAGTATATAGTATATATATCTGTACCCGTTGAAGTGTGTGTTTTATGATAGCGACCTTGACGCCGTCTCTCCACAACTAACTTTCGATGTGCCAATTCTCTGGCTGGGTAGGTAAGTCAAAGAATTGTTAATATTAAATTAAATATAAAATAAAAAATAAATTAATATAAATCGACAATTTAAGTTGTTACAAAGCTTAATTAGGCAGGAAGCCGTTGCAGATCAACGGAACTTAAGCAGAATTAACTATTGACAGCTACAATTATCTATTACGGTAAGAATATTTAAGTCATTCTCTAACTTAGTATTTGGTGAATGTTTCTCTAAAAAATCTGTAGTTATAAACTAAAGTGATATAGAAATTGAATAGATAAAAGAGAAATTAGCCAGTTGAAAAAGCCTAAAAAAGATGTGGATCAATTATATGATAAAAATTTTCAACTCAAACAAATCTGTAAAATCAAAATTGTGGAACAAATCTTACCTTTTACTCAAGATAATCAAATATTTCAATTACTTAATAAAAAAAAACAATTATCAAATTCCTCGAACACTTAAATTTCTTACATCTTGATTTGGTATAAGTAGATAGTTCAAAGGAGTTCGCGACAAAAGTATATGGTATATATATCTGTACCCTTTGAAGTGTGTGTTTTGTGGTAGGGACCTTGAGGCCCTATCCTCAACTAACGTTCGATGTGTCAATTCTCTGGCTCGGTACGTAAATTGAATTATGCATGTTTTTTCATAATCTTTCAATGAAGTTATTATTTTGTCAAAAAAATAATTCTCTTCGCTAGTGATTCTCACAAACTGAGTTAAATCCGTTAAAATTGTTCAATCTAATCTAAGATTTTTTATATCAACTTATGTTCAGATGTATGGTGGATGGGATGTTGGATGGGATGTCATCTGATCCAATCCAATCCACCAATCCATCCTAAAAATTGATGTTATGCTTTTATACTTTGTATGTTAAAAAGAAGACTTTTTATTTGTTAATAATATTAACTATTTATGAAATATGAAAGTTGACAAAAATAAAGAACAAAAAAATTTGGACTCAAATAAAGTCCAAAATAATAAAAAAAATTACTCTAAAATAGTTCAAAAAAAGATTAAAATAGTTAATTCTAAACCTTCAAATCAATCCATATTCATTTGTCAACTCATACGGCCCGCTCAATTCGCATCTACTAATTAAGTAGACGGAAACAGATTATTTTCTTTAATCTACCTAAATTCGGACAGATGACAAATGAGAAGCCATGTGACCCAACCCGATCTGCGAACACCCCTAAACATAGATAGATAGAATATATTTTATAGTATTAACTCATATCATTCTCCATAGAGATTCTGTATGAATATTCTATTTATACTATCATTACTGATTTTTCAAATAATATTTTGCATCTGGTGCTAATTTTTGTCAATTGCCTTCCACATACAAAATATTAAGGTTTTAGAGATCAAAATTTAAAGATAAAATTATTTTTTCAGACCAAATATTTTTGTTACAAAAAATGTTGTTATTATATTTTAGTAATGAAAATTGGACATTACTTATGAATTATTATCTTTTTGGGAGCAAATTTTTTATCTCAAAAAATAAATCATTTTGAGACCAAATTATTTTGTTTCTAAAAGTTATTTATTAGTGACATTTTCAAAATTTTGTCTCTAAAAATTTTGTTTTTGACTTTTTGAAACAACCTTTTAGCGACTATTGTCAAAACGATAAAAATCGGTTCATAAATATCTTTTGTAACAAAATTTTTACTTTTAGAGACTAAAAAATTTAGTTTCTAAAACTCTTATATGCTACTCATTAATTAGTCTACCTTGACTATTATCTTGTTGAATTCAAATATTAGATATCAATTGTGATTTGTGCAAACGGATACATTAGATGATTTGATAGCCTTGTAGACTTGGAATAACTTGCAGAAAACAGGTGACCAAAATAAGCGAAAGAAGTAAGGAATTGCACAACCTATGTTTAATGAATTCAAGTAGGTGAATGTGGTAACCTGAGCCACATCCATTGCATTTACAATTACATTGAGTTTAATTTATCTTAGCTCAAATTAGTAAAATGATAAAATATTCTTTTTCTTTTGCTTCAAAGACAGGATAACCATGGCAAATCCACCTATCAGAATTGGAATCACACAGGTAAGCCCATCCCTGCAAATCTTGGACTGGGAATGAGATCAAGATTGCAATTCTCAATTGAAGATTCCCACAAAACAATGCACCCTAAGATGACTAACATATCCTTCTGGTCAAAAGGAATGATTTAGATACATCTTCACAGAAAGCACAACTTGGAATTAATTTACTCTGTACACTTCCAAGAAATCTGATAAATCAAGTATTCCCAATTTTTTCTTTTGTGGTTGGGATAATAGAAAAGTAATTACCTGAGTGATACTCAGTACAGCATCAACATGAATGTCTGGCCCTTCTCGTCGAAAAACAGGATCTTCCCGGACCTGGAAAAATATTAAGGTACAAATTCTGAGCAGTAAAGCAATATACACACCTAACTATAACATATCAAACAAGTACTAACAATATAAATGGGGGTGGAGAACTATGGAAGGTGATGTGCTTCATTATAGTGCATATTTTATACCCTTAATTTATACTCTATTAGATCTATTTTATATATTATTTAATCTTATTATGTTTGTTTTTATGTTTTTAGGTATTCCAGAAATTGAATGAAAAAATGGTGGAAAATGAAAGAAAGTTGAATCGGCATAGAAGAAGTCAAATAAATAAATAGGAGCTTTATGACATAATCTTGTGCCTAGCTTAGTTGACAATTGAGTGGGTCACTACTACTACTACAGAATTGGGGATTTTCGGTTCAAACCTTTTGAGCAACATAATTTTATATTTTTGGTCAACTTAGCACAAGTCAATTATGTCAATGCCGCAAAGCACCGGATTAAATTCAATGTCAACAACTCTTCCAGCAGGAGATACATTTCAACAGGACTTCTTAGCCGGGTCAGCCATACGGAAGTTTAATTAGCATAATTTATATATTTTTTTGTTTAATAATAGTTTCCTAATATTATTAGATTAGGTTTAGATTTTCTCCATTTATATAAATACATGTAACACTCATTATGAGGGTGAATTCTTTTTGCAAAGAAAAAGAAGAGGCAAAATGAGTACCATGGTGTATGCTTTTTGCAAATGATATCGTGTTAGTGTAATTTTAGTAACAGTCACCATGGAAACAGAAGAAAATTGAAGATTGAGAACCAAGAACTACCTAAGAGTGAACATTTTCATTATTTAGGATCAATTATCACAACAACTGGGGAAATTGAAACGGACGTGGTCCACATAATTAAGGCGGGGTGGCATAAGTGGAAGAGTGCGTCTGGAGTATTGTGCGATAAACGAGTACCACTAGACTAGAAAGGAAGTTCTATAGAACGGCTATTAGACCAACGATGTTATATGAGACAGAATATTGGACAACTAAGAAACAACATGTAAAGAAGATGAGTATTGTCGAGATAAGGATGCTAAAGTGAATGTATGGCAAGACTAGAAAAGACAGAGTTAAGAATAAGTATATTCGAAAATGTGTAAGGGTAGTACCGATAGAAGATAAGTTGAGAGATAATAGATCGAGATGGTTTCGTCATATACAACAGAGACCAACAAAGACAGTAGTGAAGAAACGCGATATAATGACGATAGACGGTAGTGTTAGGGGAAGAGGTAGACCTAAATTGATGTAGACTAGTGTAATAAATAGAGATATGAATCTCCTTAATTTGACTAACGAAATAGTCTCGGATAAAGTCGAGTGGAGAAGAATGATTCATGCAATGATGTGTAACGAAATTATTAATTGAGATTAAAGATGAAACATCATGCTTCGTAATAATTAAATATATGATCTGATTGTATTGTCTTGAATTGTGCTTTAATTGATTAATCGTTCTTGTCTCATTGTAATTAATTCAATAAATTTTGAATATGAATTTAATCAAATTTCTTTCATGATTTGAAATCTACTCATTAATTAGTCTACCTTGACTATTATCTTGTTGAATTCAAATATTAGATATCAATTGTGATTTGTGCAAACGGATACATTAGATGATTTGATTTTAAACTTTCAGGTGCGGAAGAATATACATAAGAAAATTATTTTGAAAAAAAAAATTTAATGATCATATTTTCCATAATAATTAAGATTGATTTCCAAATTATTGTGAAGAGAATCAAAGAAATCATTCAGATTATGTTATTATAATTAGGGTAAACTTGACTGTGAATTATGAAACCTTAGTTTCATTCATCTAATTAATTTATTCTTCTATTTAATTATTTCCCTGTTTGTTTAATTTATTTAATTATTGCATCTTTAGAGTTAATTTCAATCACACTAAAATTTGTTCACTAGATTAGGGTCTATTTAAATTCGAATTAATTACTTTTTTCATTTCCTGTTTATTTTTATTTTTTTATAATTTATATTCACCTTTTCTTTATTTTTATTCTTTTATAATTTATATATTGACGTTCTCTGAAATTGATGATAATTACAAAAATTAATATTGAAAATTTTGAAATAACACTAATAATCTTACTTAGCCTTCATTTGGGAAGGCAAGATTGAGGCTTTTTTTTGGCTATTTTACCCATAAAAATAAAATAAGTTTTTTAGCTTAATAAGACAAAGCATTATATCTAATCCATAATAATTACATTTTGTCTCTCACAAAAAAGCAAAAAAAGTCAAAAGTCCTTCCCAAACCAACCTTTTTAGCTCCAAGTTAAAATAGTCAAAAAAACAAAAAAATTAAAAAGTCAACTCACTTCCCAAACGAAGGCTTAATTACTCCATGCTACCCCACTCAACATGGCCACCCCCCCTTCCACGCCACCACCTTGTCCACTGCATTCTCACCTCCCACGACCACCATACCCCACTCCACCCCACTTTACTTGCCTCCCCTCCTCCTCCCTTACTCACCTCACCTTACCACCATCACCCTTAATTACTTTTACCACCACTACTGCCACTCACATTGTAAATCATCACCATCTAAACAATAAATCATCATTCGCCTCCAACTCTCCCGTCTCTTCCCTCTTTGTCCCCCCTTCTAGCAATGATAACTAACCACCATCTCTTCATCTTCTCTGTTTATCCCTCAATAATTTTTGTTATTTCTTTTTCTTCTCTGTTTCTTCGATTTCGGCCATCACCATATTTTTCCCTGTATATGTTTTCTTCAATTTCTACCAATTCTTCACAAAGGTGTCGATAGTAGAGTAGGAAAAAAGAGAAAAGAGAAAAGAAATATCAAAGTGAGAAGGGTACATGTGAAAGGGTGGAGTGATCAAATATAGTTGTAGGGGCAAAAATGTAAAAATCATTTCTCTATTAGCTACATTCAATTGACAACACTGATTGGGGACGACAGTGGTATTTCAAAAAAAAATTAATTTTATTTTTTTTGTAATTGTCATAAACTTTAGAGGATGTTAGTATAATTTTTTCTTTTTTTATCATTAATGACCCTTGCTCTTGAAATCATCATAAGTCTTTCGTTTCTCTAACCTTTGTTTTATTTTAAAAATTAGATTAATTTAAAAAAATGAGACTTTTATACAAAATTTTTACATAAAATGATGTCCTTTATGTTTTATTATTATTATTTCAAATCATAATACCAACTATTATCGCTGATGATAAGAATATATTAATTGCTGCCACATCAATAGGATATTATTTTATGTAAAAAATAATAATAATACTTATAAATTAAAGATAATCAGAAAAAGTTCAATGGAATTATGATTTAGATTCATAAAAATGTCTCATTCATTTTAAACCCTTATTCTATTCAATATAATGATGAATTAAAATGACTACTAGCATTTTGATCAGACAACTTGCTAAACCATTATATAATTGGACAATACTTTTACACTTACTTCCAAAGAAGGGGAAAATAATAGACTTTCAAGTAATGCATATAATGCTTAATATGAAGATGGGCAAATATAACAAATCAGTGGTAATTTCAAAAATAAATATTAATTTGATAAAAAAAAACTACGAGTTTAACTTTGAATGTAGTAAAATTTCTCATTAATATGTAAATATTTTTTCTGACTTTCGTTGAAATGATATTTTCCCAATGACGATCCTGGTGCCTTAAAATATAACTTTCACAAATTTATTGAGAAAGAGTAGTTTGCAATATGACTTTTAACAATAACATTCTTGTCTTGTGCTCTTTGAAAAAAAAAAATGAAAAAAGGAAAGAAACCTAACATTCTAACAAATTGGCATAGGCTAGTTGTTAGACATCTCTCTCTCTCTCTCTCTCTCTCTCTCTCTCATGTTGAAATTATGATGATAGATGATAAAATATGTGTTTTCAATGTAAAATGATTGAAGGGGTTGCTGTTGGGTGTGGATGGCAAGCATTTGTTGCGTACGTAAACGTTGGATGTTATTACGTGGTTGGTATTCCACTTGGTGCACTACTCGGCTTCAAATTCAATCTTGGTGCCAAGGTATATCTTTTTTTGTGTTAGAAAACAGAAGTTGAAGATGCAACAAAATAACAAAAACTATTCCAGAAGTTTGGTAACGTTTGCGTTTTCAGTTTATATTTACAAAAATTTTATAAACTGGTTTTTGTTTATTTTTTGTTTATTTTTAGAAAAACATAAACTACAAACGGTGTCGATTGTAGAGTAGGAAAAAGGAGAAAAGAGAAAAGAAAAAAGAAAGATCAAAGTGAGAAGGGTACATGCGAAAGGGTGGAGTGATCACATATAGTTGTAGGGGCAAAAATGTAAAAATCATTTCTCTATTAACTACATTCAATTGACAACACTGATTGGGGACGACAGTGGTATTTCAAAAAAATATTAATTTTATTTTTTTTGTAATTGTCATAAACTTTAGAGGATATTAGTATAATTTTTTCTTTTTTTATCACTAATGACCCTTGCTCTTGAAATCATTATAAGTATTTTGTTTCTCTAACCTTTGTTTTATTTTATAGATTAGATTAATTTAAATAAATGAGACTTTTATACAAAAATTTTACATAAAATGATGTCCTTTATGTTTTATTATTATTATTATTTCAAATCATAGTACCAACTCTTATCGGTCATGATAAGAAGGCGAAAATAATAGACTTTCAAGTAATGCATATAATGCTTAATACGAAGATGGGGCAAACATAACAAATCAGTGGTAATTTCAAGAATAAATATTAATTTGACAAAAATAACTATGAGTTTAACTTTGAATGTAGTAAAATTTCTCATTAATATGTAAATATTTTTTTCTGACTTTCGTTGAAATAATATTTTCCCAATGACGATCCTGGTGCCTTAAAATATAACTTTCACAAATTTATTGAGAAAGAGTAGTTTGCAATATGACTTTTAACAATAACATTCTTGTCTTGTGCTCTTTGAAAAAAAAAAATGAAAAAAGGAAAGAAACCTAACATTCTAACAAATTGGCATAGGCTAGTTGTTAGACATCTCTCTCTCTCTCTCTCTCTCTCTCTCTCTCATGTTGAAATTATGGTGATAGATGATAAAATATGTGTTTTCAATGTAAAATGATTGAAGGGGTTGCTGTTGGGTGTGGATGGCAAGCATTTGTTGCGTACGTAAACGTTGGATGTTATTACGTGGTTGGTATTCCACTAGGTGCACTACTCGGCTTCAAATTCAATCTTGGTGCTAAGGTATATCATTTTTTGTGTTAGAAAACGGAAGTTTAAGATGCAACAAAATAACAAAAACTATTCCAAGATTAAAAAGGTTTAGCATGCTACACATTTACTACTATCTTTTCCATCTAAACCTCAAATGAATGTAATCCATAAGTATTTGATTTTCCTATCTTTTGAATTACAAGTTGTTCTTGTATATATATTGCTCAGAAAAAGAAATACCATTTATTAATGAAAGTGAAACATTAGAAGGGAAAAGAGGAGTTTTTCTCAATATTTGAGTGAACAACTAATATGCATTCATTGGTGCACCAATCACTCTTTATAAAACATACAATACAAGCATGGATTAAAAGTTTCTTTCACATATATGCATGCAATATTAGCAAAATGATCATAGCATATACATAGTGAGTATATTATGGGTAAGGTTGTGGTTTAATGCAGGGAATATGGTCAGGGATGATAACGGGCACCTTGATTCAAACTATTATTTTAATATGGGTAACTTTTCGGACCAATTGGGATAGAGAGGTAAGATTTGATGAATGCTACTATTTTCTAATCCATGTTAGACTTGCACTCTCATTCGTTATTTCTCTCTTTTATATCTTCTCAAATTATCAACCAATCATCTCACTTACACATCATTAAGTCTATAAAGTGGGTCTAAAAAGTGAACTTGTATATAATTTTTATGATAAGTTTGCATTTTCTTTATTGATGAATGAAAAAGAGTCAGAAAGAAAGACACGTCATAAAGACCACTGCTAAAGGGGGATTAATTAGGTGAAGACATTACAATAAAACATTACAAGAAATAATGGAAAGCATGAATAGGCATTAATTAGGTGAAGACAAATATCTTACACACAATGCGATGCATCAAACATGCAGATTTGTTGAACAAATAACAAGAAACCAACCAACGATAACAAAACTCTCAATACTAGCTATACTTGGGCGAATCAAGATCCTCTCCTTGATCTCTCTCCTTGATTCCTTACTTGTTGGGTCATTGGGTCCATTTTTGGGCCTAATTTTAATAATCTGAACCATTTACATTTTAAGATTTATTGAGTATATCATACCTGTAAAAAATCAAATTGATCGAATATCAGAAACTACATGTTTGGATCATCGAACTAAAAATATTTTTTAAAAAAATTTAATCTACAGTTTTCCGAACACATTTTCTAATATTTGATCAACTTGATTTTTTACAGGTATAATATACTCAACAAATCTTAAAATGTGAACGGTTCAGATTATCGAAATTGAGTCCAAAAGTAAGCCCAATAATTTAATAAGTAAAGAGCCAAAGAGAGAAATTAAAGAGAGGATCCGATAATGACTCGGTGAATTAAGATCTTACGTAATTAAGTTATAGCTTCAAGCACACATTGCATAGTAACAATGCACAGCATATGCCCTACTTTACAAACAAACAACACTTACAAATTAAGCTATACTTATAAAATTGGTAGTAGTCAACTATATTACACTTTACACTGTTCTTTGATTGTGCAATTGCCTTTTCTCCTAGAAACCCATGTTTTCCTACCGTTTAAAATTCAGAAATTTGTCAATCTGTCACAATATTTATGAGTAAATTACACCCACACCCCTTAAAATTTGCCTTTAAAACAAATGTCAAGAAAAGTCCATACCATTTTTTTTTTCTTTGGCCAAATTATGCTGACAGTCTTTATAATTTATCATTTATGTCATTTTAATCCCGGTAATTTCAATTGATTTGATTTTGACTATAAATTTTTGATTTTGTATCAATTTGGTCAAATTTTTGATTTTGTATCAATTTGATTTTGACCACAAATTTTTGATTTTGTATCAAGTTGGTCAAATTTTTGATTTTGTATCAATTTTTTATTGCTCCCCGCTAGCGTTATTTCTAAATAATGTGCATGTAAGTAAGCAAGTGTCTTACTTTTAAGGATAAAATTCTAAACTTACTCAATTCAGTGAGTTAATTTCATTCAATTCAATGATTTTTAGTCAAAAACGCTAACCAAATATAGCAATTAGACCAAATTTCCCTGCTTTAATTGGCCCCCCGCTAGTAAACGGTGGGATTGGTCCATTGTATTAGTTGGTCCAATGGGCCAGATATTGAGATAAAAAATAAAATAAAATAAATAGACCAAATTGACGTAAAATCTAAAATAAAATGTCAAAATCAAGTTAATTTAAAGTGTGTGGACCAAAAATAGCACAATGGAAAAAATGCATTGATTATTAGTGTGTAATTTGCCCTTCATTTTTTTTTTTTTATTAACAAGTAACTCGGATTTTGTTTGAATCATGGATTTAGATAGGAATTTAGAAAGAGAAATGAAATTCCTACTAAATTTATAATCAAAATACAGTCTAAACGAATAACATGTAGAAATCATGGGCTTGAAAATTCTGAATTTGGAAATTTTCAGGTGGAGAAATCAAGGGATCGATTGGATAAATGGGCAGACAACAAGGAAGATGAGCCTCTTTTGTCAAGCTCATGAGTTGCAGGTCACACAGCATGGCCCAATTGCCCCTTAAAAATAACTTCTATATATGAGGCCATATGACAACAGTATTAGAATGTGTATCGGCATGAGCTATATATGTCACATATTGGACAGTAATAATTGAAATATTAATAAATAATGATATCAAAAATTTAAAATCTCAATATATAATAAATAATATATATGATATTTAAAACCTAGCCGATAATATATACGATTTTTAAAACCTAGCCACCTATTTTTGGACCATATTAGCTAATTTATCATCATCTCACATTTTTTTTTCCGCCACTGCACCCACCTCTTGGCAGGATTTTTTTTTTTTTGGGTTATTTATTTTTAGTAATTATTATTTTTATTTTTTTTTTGGTAGTGTGCTAATGTGATCAATGACTTCATTGGAGGGGTTAATTATCGGTACCTAGTGCATGAAGCAACAAACATCAATAACAAAAATAAAAAGCCTATAAATCATATTATTTGTGAAATCCTTACTTTTTTCTTGTTAGTGGAATTTCACAAAAAAGTTTAGGCAAATTGTACCAATAATCCCAATATTTTGGCTCATGTATCATTTTGGTCCTACAACCTCAATTGACTCGATTTTAACATTGAATTTATGATTTTTGTCTCAATTTGGTCTAATTGATTACAATTGTTAGTGTTTTGTGATGGGAAATATGCATATAATCGGCATGTGTTATGTAGGCAAAATTATAAATTTATTCAATTTAGTGAGTTAACTTTAACTAACTTAGTGACCATTTTCTTTGAAATACTCTAATCGGCATTATCAATTAAACCAAATTGACACAAAATTTAAAATTAAGGGCTAAAATTAAAATAATTAAAATTATAAATATCAAAATAATACAAGAGACAAAATAAAATGATTATCAATATAATTTGCTCAAATGATTACCCCATGTACCACTCCTATAATCAAATTAATATGATAATTACATAATTTTATAATATTTATTTTTTAAAAATAAATTAAGATTAATTATATATTTAAAGTTCATTTGGAAAGAAATTTTTAATTAAAATATAAAATTAAACTAAATTCAATTATTTGTGAATCACTTTTTAATTTTTTACAACAACAAAAAAAAAAGTGCAAAAGTAGAAAAAATAAAAATGAATCTATAATTTTTTCTATAAATTTTTGGCTTCACTGTTTGACTAAAAAAATCAATTGCCGAACGCCCCCTTAGTCCCTAAATTATGAGATTTGTCTCATTTTGATCCTCAACATTAAAATTGTATCTGTTTAGTCTCTAACATTAAAAAATATAAATATTTTTTAATTTGGTCCCCTAACTTGATTCGGTCAATAGATGTCATTACAATCAATAATAAAACTGTAATTTTTAGAGATCAAAATGACACATCACATATTTGAAGACTAAAGTGTAATTTTTTTAAGGATACTCGAGCCATAGGTCCAATTTCAAAACTTATGAGGCTAAAAAGATAATAATAATTTGAAAAACCATATTATCCATATCTATTTGCTTATCTGTCCACCTATTTGTCCAATTATCATTTATTTGTCCACGTATCATCCACATACTTGTCCATGTGTCACTTATTTTTGATCTCATGTTTTGTTTTGAAAATTGTTTCGAATATGTACCACTTGAAAAAGTGATCACATATAAACATTACTCAAATTATTCCAATTCAAGTAATTAGCCTTCATCCACAAGCATTCAAGAGCTATAGCACTTAAGAACTTAACCTTATGGTGAACATGCTTTACATGGCAATACTAACATACAATACAATATGCTAAAACAAATAAAATCTCACCTAGTACTCCAAGCCAAACAAGATGACAGAGTTAGAATAATACATAATCCTAACTATGCAATATGACTAATGCAACACATGCGATATGCAATTATCAGGCTCGGCTACTAAGATAGCATATGAAGTAATTTGGTAGCATGCAGTCTAAGTACGTATTCAAAGAAGTATTTAACTAATAATACAAGTTAGAATGATGTGCCGAGCCTAATGCATGCAAGATGATGGATGCAAGGCATGAAGTATGCTAAACAAGACACGGTGTCATAAACTAACCATCATAAGCAAATAAATAAAAGGAAGAAAGACGTGGAGTTAGAAGACATACACGTTATTACAAGTTTGCGCCCTCACGCAGGAGGGTTCGAATAAACTAACTAGCTAAGCTAATTACTACGAATTAACTAACTATTACAAAATGAAATGAATAAATTAGCTAAGCTACTTAACTAATTATTACAACAACAAATTAATTAACTATTCTAGCTAATTAACTATTTAACAAATTTGAACTAACTAATAAATTACAAATTAACTAATTACAACATGAATACAATATAGAGAAGTATTAAGCTAACTACTCTAACTATTCTGCCTCGGGAAACGAGAAATGCTCATGTATGCGTGTAGACACCCTATTTTTGACCGTCCTCAAGACTTGGACGTCACCGTTTGAACACTCGGCGATCATCCTTGTTTGTGTTCGTCTTGAGTTCCCGGAGGTCTCGGCTACGCGTCTTACCTTAGGATCTCTTGACTCGACTGTTTTGTATTTGGTTTTGCACCAAACACTTGTGTTTTTGCTTTGGAGGGCAGGGAATGGCTTGTTGGCCATCCCCACACTCCACCGGCCATGGCTTGAGGCCACTGGCTGTGTTTTGTTGCCATCGGCCAAATGTTTGGCCGACCGGTACTCTAGATGGTCGACCGGCCATCTAGATGGTCGACCGGCCATCTATTTTGGTCAAATTGCATTTTTGGCTGGCCGATCACTGTTCATCTGCTTTTGCAGATATTTTTATGCCAGCTGTGCTAGCTGGCATACACTTTACTCCCCTCCATACACGTATATGGAGGGATCTCCCTCTTGACTAGCTTGTTTGGAAAGCTTTACAAGAGGGATTGTCTATAAGAGGGAGCCTCTTCTCCCTCCATTAGGGTTACAAAATTTTTCAGAGCTTTGAGTTTTAGGGTTAGGGTTTGTTCATACTCTATCTCTATATCTCTCCATCTCTTGAGTGTTTTGTGTGTGTTTAGTCTTAGTTTTGCACACAAACACCTACCATTACACCATACCTTAGTTGCTGAGGCATAAGGGGCTTGTTCTTGGAGGTTTTGGACTGGTTTGAACCTAAGGAAGCAGCTGGTCTTCCATTTTTGAAGAGGGTCTACAAGGGTAACAATCTTACCCCTTTTTCCCCATTTTTGCATAGCTTTTTCACCTATCTTGCAACTATTTTTAGACTTTGTGTATAACATATAAAAGTCTTGTTTTTGCCTGCTCTAAATAGTTATTTAAGAGTGTTTTGAGCTTTGGGGTTGTTTGACCCCTCTTAGGGCTTGTTTGGCCCCATTTTGTGCCATTTTGGTTGAGCTCCGAGACCGCCTTGTTTGGGCCTCCTCACCACTGAAATCTTGAGGGATTTCAGTGGTGAGGATGATGCCTTGAGGTCCTAAGAAGGAGAGGGCCACCCCCTCTCCTTATTGTCCTTGAAAAGGTCCGTTTTAGCCTCTTGAGTGAGCTTCTTATTTAGGTTCATGTTGGCCATATCTTAGCCGCTATTTAGTGTTATTTTGCCATGCTATAGCACTGTTTTATGTTGGTTTAGGCACACCATGCTTGTTTAGCATACATGTCTTGTAATGTCATCATTTGCCTTAACATGTACTTAGCATGTAGATTACCATGCTTGCTTGTTTTGGCCAAGCTTTGTGAAGCTTTTAGGCTTGTTTTGCCATGCTTAAGGTCTAATGTAGGTTGTCTTAGCCATGCTTGCCATGCTTTGTTTAGCCTCTTTGCATTCTTGGCTCGTAAGCCTCAAGTGTATGAACCATGAGCATGCATTACTTGCATTATTCCAGTGGTTTGGAACCATTTAACATGTCATTTCAGTCTTCATGACATGCTTGCACGCTTGCATTTGATGCCCCTTTAATGTGTTAAAAGGTTGTTGTCTTATGCCCCTTGTTTAGGCCCTTGCGCATGCTTGCATGTTTAAGCCATTTAGATACCATCTAGATGTGTTATGGGCTTTGTCTTAATATGCTAAAACTCTGATTTTGGTTGCTTAATCCATGCCGTGTTTGATTTTGCTAAGTGTAGTTCAATACACCTTTGGCTCGCCTTGAATTTTGGCTTTGCTTGCATGCCTTGTTTGTCTTGTCTAGTTGATTTGGCACCTTTCATGACTTGATTTTCAGAGCTTATAATGCAATTTGTCCATGTTTTCATTCTCTTAAGTGTGCTTGAGAGTTGCTCTTCAATGCCTAAGTGTTGGCCTTTGTGTGCATGCATGCTTACATGTTATTTGGTCCTCCTTCTCTTAGCAATTGACCACTGTTTTGGGCTTAGTATAGAGGTGCCCAAATTAGTTTAAGTCCATTATTCGCATGTCGTTGCATGCTCACCTTGTGTGTTGTTGCATATTTGTGTGTTGTTACATGTTTAGGTTGTTTAACATGTTTGCTCCATGTGTTGTTGCATGCTTGAACATCCACATTGCATCTTGCACACTTGTTGGTTTGCATGTCTCATGCCTTGCATGCTTGCTTGTATAGGTTGTATGCCTAGTATGCATTGTGCATTGCATGCCCATGTTGCATACTTAGTTAACATGCCTAGGTTGCATTGCATTGGCATGCATGCTTTGCCTCTCGAATTGAGTATGATAGAGGTTGAGCCTCACTTGTTTGTTTGATGTGCATCTCATTTGAAATCAAAGTGCATACTTGGTTTCTTGGGCCATCACGCATTGAAATGCGCGATTGGTGGTCCGAGAATCGATAACCATGTCCCTTTGAGTCACAAACATGATAAGGGATGTGTTGGTGCACACATTTGCTTGGAATGCATTGCCATGCCTTGTTTTGCCCTCTGCTGCTGTCAAAACAGGTTCTGCAGGAAGTTTTGGCCGGTCGGCTACATACAGTGCCGACCGACCAACAATTTGTGGCCGATATCTCCACAGGTGGTCGATGACCATTCCCCATGGCCGGTGACCATTCCTCATGGCCGGTGGTGTTCCACAGCACTCAGAGAAGCAACCTTGGAGTTTGTGCAATTTTTAGAGGTGCCAAACAGTAAAAACAGAGGCAACTTGTGCATA